CTCAAGTAAATAGAAAAAACTCAACAAAGCTGTTAAGTGATAGATGGCCATGATATGGCAGATGCGTGAGTGACGAGGCAAACACCAACACCGGCTTTGGCCTTGCGCTTACTACCTTCTCGCTCCAACAGCTCAGCGGTGACATCCCGTTCCCCGATGACCCAATCCATTTCCAATTCTCTGCCGTTTGTAGTTCCACACCGCCATGCACGATGCTTGTGTCGTTCGCTATTTCCGATGTGCTTACCGAGAAGTTGATTGCGCTTGCTCTATCGAACCCTTCTACGGTCGTCATGCCCCAATCGATGCTGGCCTCGCTCGAATCGTGTCCCTTGGTTATTGTGGGTGTTGTTGAATCCGTGCTTTGCTTGTCGAACAAGTAGCCGTGGTTGTTGTTAATGCCTGATCGTTTTGTGTCGAAGCTGGTAACATCGTTGAGGGAGCTTCTTCGCCGACACATGATTAGGCATGTCGATGTGGTTTGGGTGGAGAAGCTCTCTATTTCATGTATATAGGTAGAAGCTTGCTTCGCTTGCTACGTCATTGTCGATGATTCGTGACTTGGGGCTTGGGGAAACGTGAAATTCTGGCAACCTCTGTCGTCGGTTTTGGTGAAATTGATCCGTGTTTGATGTTGGCGGGTCAGAAAACTTCCAAGGATTCCCGGGGTGGATCTTCATCGACCTCATTTTTGGTTACAGTGAGACTCAGTCGACTCCTGAACTCGTGTGTTTTCATCATGTTATGCCCATGCATTTTGCATTTTCCATGTGTCTCCCATCTCTACCAGCGTGGGTTTCATTGATGCCACTGTGTCTGTCATGTCATTAGTCATTAATTGATTATGTATTTGGCGTATCAAAGCCATCTTCCAATTAACAGCTCCGTTATGCAATTTTCAAGGACTTAGGCGCTTGTTTGGAAACAACCATTTAATCAATTACTACAAGGAAAACCATAGTTTGGGTGAAAAAAAAAAAAAAACCCAAACAGCCTATTTTGCCATAATTAATTATATGGATGTCAACTACGTTAAATTTTTGTTGAACAAATAAATCACTGTACGTTAACGTTCATCTACTCTGCATCTGCTCTATTGTTCATTCAGAAGGCACAGGCGCACGCAACGCATGTCTTTTGTTTCTTTTTTCGTTTTTTGGAAAATCACAACCAAGATTCCTCAAAAAACAAATTCACAACTGAGAACCAATGAGTTCTGACTTAACACTAGTCTTTGGAGTCCTAACAGTAATTAATTGTAGTGTTAAAAATGCATAATTACCCCTAATTATGTCTAGGATAAATTATAAGATAATTATTTCTTGTTAAAATATAATGGAGTATTGTTATTTTGTACAAATATTTTTATCAATAAAAATGACTCTATTCTAAACTTGTCACTATGATAATTATTTCCTGTTAAAATAAAATAGAGCGTTGTTATTTTACAAATGATGAATTGTTCACCATATGAATACACTTGATTTTATCAATCGAAATAGCTTTAAACACTAGGGGCAATTTCACAATTGCAATAATTACAATTAGGACTTGAGGACTGCAATATTAAATCAGAATTAATTAGTCTTCAATGTGTTTTTCCAAGGATCCTTGGTTGTAATTTCTCCTTTTTTAAAAAAAATATTGAATATAGACCTCACACAATTTTTTCATCAATATAGCATACGTAATTCAAAAACAACAACTATTTAAGGTTGTTCATGGCTTGAAAGGAAATACACCCGGCCCGTTTGGTTTAATTTTATGACCCCTGATAATAATAATCTGATTGTGTTACTAGACAAAATTGGTTTGATTGGGTTTTAGGTTGAGAATGGTAATTTTCCAGGGTAATCATTATTACCGGGGGAAAAAGAAAAAGACATATTAATCCATATTCATACCTCGCATCCTATGAGTGAAAATTACCGATCTTCGGCAAAGTTGATGATTCTGCCCTGGGTCTGGGGGCCCCACATGCTTGAAAGATTTTTTTCCCTGCAAGTTATTTGTTTGATGGAACAAATACATATTTTTTTTAAAAAAAAAAGGTTTAAAATATATTTAAAATATCTTAAATCCCGTGGGAGCTCAGCGCTAAAATGTATGTATATCAGTGTATGTGTGTCTGTTGGAGAGAACATGGATAAACTTACTTTTTTTTTTGGGGGGGGGGTGGTTGTCAGACTAACATTTGTTTATTATAATTTGTTTCTTTTTTGGTTGAAATACTTTCATTTTTCGCGCAAAGGAAAAGGAGCAGAAAGTTGTATCGTTCTTGGCGGTGGTTCAATCACACAGGATTGCTTCATTTATGTGGGGTTTCACCTTACGTTATCTCTGATTATTCTCGTGTCAATAATCCTAGAATCATCATCATTACCACTGGCTATAACAACAACAACAACAACAACTATTATTATTAAAACCACAAATAATCTGATTTCATTAATAAATGTTCAGTGCTTATCACAATGATAAGAGCTAGATCATCTAAAATTGATTTTAACAGCTAAAATTTAAAAATTTTAATCCTTAATTTTTTATATAATTGTTTTACCGAAGTGACAGTTATAAAATTATCTTTGTTTTAAATTATAAAGATATTAAAATAATAATCTACTAAACATATAAAGCTGAAATTGTATTAAATTTATGGATTATCCAGATCAAATTTGAACAGTTTAGATTGAAATGAAAACGAATCTCATTTCTTCAGAGTGGAATTGGGACAAGAGTTTGATTCAAATGGAAAGGAGACTATCCCTATGCCATTGTTTAGTAATTGGAATGTTACAATTAGTCATGTACGGGCCAACTCTTATGCACAGTTTTAGGCCACTAATACCACCGATAGCCAAGGCAAGTTTATATTTGATTATCTTCACCTTAAAGAGACTAAAATGATATCTCTTCTAATACTATCACTTTCTTATTGAAAAAAATGGAAAGGATACAGGCAATACTGGAATCCAACAACATTTCGCGCCTGTTTGGATAATCTACATATAACATTTGAAAAGCATATTCTAACATCAATGCACAACTGTTTAAATATCACATGAGTAGAAAAATATACTTGTGAAAAGTACTTTCTAATATGGTTTGGAAGTGGATTTTTAAAAGCAACTCCAAGTTATATTTTAAACGCAAATGAAAGTTGAGATCATTTAATGAGATGAATAAATATATACCTTTTTTATAATTAACCATGTTTACCCTTGTATTTTAAAAATTTCTAATATGGTATTATATTTGTATAACAAACATTATAAATAATCATTAATTAACATATTTTTTGGTCATTATATATTCAAAAACATATTTCAAAAGTATAAATTATTATTAATTTAAATAACTTTTAGTTTATCAAATTAAATTTTAAAATAATATATCTAAATATAAATTTTGTTACAACTAATTTTTTATTGATAAACTCACTTTTATCTAATAAAAAACCGAACACACCTTTAATGTTTGACACCTTAATGTTTGACATAAAGAAGAAGCATTATATTTCTTCACCCACACCCACGCAGACATGTGCCAAATTCCGAAATTTGTCATGCCTTCTGATTCTTGACCCCCTCCTGATTTGGACTGGACTACAGCTGTTCCTTATCTCCTTACACATAAAACAAGGGTAATGTCTCTCTCCAGGGAAAACAGAAAAAAGAAAATGACAATAAAATTTTTAAAAATAGAATTCAGGACAATTAAATTTTTAATAATTTTTTAAAAGATAAATTACAGATATTAATTTAAATAATTATGAACAGAACCTCAATTACAAGTTGATACTTATATTTTGAATTTAAACATTTTATTTACAATTCAAATTGTTGAATTTATAATTGTTTAAATTAATATTTATAATTTTTTCACAAAAATATTTTGTCAAGGATTTTATTGTTATAAATTTATGGTTCTAGAACTTTGATGTCATTTTCCTGACAATGTCACATTTTGTATGTGTTTAGATTAAAACATTTATAACTAAGGCTTGTAGAAAATTTTGTAATTTTAATTTAATTTATGTTTGGATATCTTCTTTTTATAAGTTAGAAAAGTGCACTAAAATTTATTTAGATAATATAATTTAAAATTTAATCAAGATGTACAATGACAAAAATGGGCCTGAGTTTTTTTGATATTTTTGTGACTAATTTGATATTTTTTTTAAATATAAAACTTAAAATCACAGTTTAAAAATAGATTAAAAATATGAAATACAATGATAAATCAAAAATATTAATTTTTAAAAAGGTAGAATTAAATGATAAAATTCATGATGTTCAATTAAGAAAATATATTATTATAATGATAAAAAAATATATGAATTTTTTGATAAATATTTTTGTGACTAATTTGATATTTTTAAATATTGAATTGTAAATTAAAATTTAATTTTTAAATGGTAGAATTAAAAATTTTAAAATAATTTGATAAATCAAAAAACCTAAATTTTATAAATGTGATGTCCAGATTTTAAAAAATAATTTACATTTCTATTAACTTATAAAAATTATGACTTATGATTATTTTTTATTATGCTTTAATATGAATTTTTTGATAAATATTTTTGTGACTAATATAATATTTTTAAAAAAATTAAATTTTAAATGAAAATTGTATTTTTAAATGGAAAAATTAAACAATTTAAAATAATTTGAAAAATTGGAAAGACTTAAATTTTATAAATGTGCTATCCAGATTTTAAAAAATAAATTACATTTATACTAACTTATAAAAATTATGATTTATGATTATTTTTTATTATGCATTAATATTAATGTATTAGTTTTATTGATATTAACGCATTAATTTATTAGTGTTTTTATTATTAATATTTTATGATGAGAGATGAGAGACCAAGGGGTGTTCGGTCTCAGTAATCTGAATGGTCCAAATTTATTATTTATATTTTTATATTTTATTATATATTTATTAAAATATAAAATATAAAATTTTAATAAATCTACTTTACTATTAATCATGATTTCAATGGCAAGCTTTTCATGAGTATCGGAGTATGACTGCGCATCCTAAAGTAGACCTAGACACCGGTGAGGCCTTTGCTTTTCGTTACGGCCTTGTTCCTCCATTCCTCACCTATTTCCGTTTCGAGTCTAAGGGTGTGAAGCAACCCGACGTGCCCATTTTCTCCACGATCAGACCCGCTTTCTTGCATGACTTCACCATCACCAATAAATATGTCGTCTTCGTGGATATACAGATAGGAATGAATCCAGTTGACATGCTTGATGGGGGTTCTCTGGTGGGCTCAGACCCGTCGAAGGTTTTGAGAATTGAAGTACTTCCTCGATGCACCAAAGACGAGTCTCAGATAAAATGGTTTGATGTTCCTGGGTTCAACAGCATGCGCGATATTAATGCTTGGGATGATGAAGATGGAAACAGTATAGTTCTAATACCACCTAATATTCTATCAGTGGAGAACACGCTAGAGCGAATGGAGTTGGTTCACGCCATGGTTGAGAAAGTAAAGATCGATCTCAAGACTGGGATTGTGATGAGACAACTAATTTCAGCGAGAAATCTAAACCTCGCAGTTATTAATCAAGCTCACGTGGGAAAGAAGAACAAGTTTGTGTACGCAGCAATTTGTGATTTGATGCCGCAAATCTCAAGGGTTGTAAAGTTGGACTTGTCAATAAGAGACGAGAGACGTGACTGCACAATGGGGTGCAGAATGTTCGAAGAAGGGTGCTACGGCAGAGAGCCATTCTTTATGGTGAGAGATCTAGAGGACTTAGACGTAGAGGAAGACGATGGATATGTGGTGACGTACGTGCACGATGAGAAGAAGGGAGAGTCAAAGTTCATGGTGATAGATGCCAAGTTGCTAGAGCTTGGTGTGGCAGTGGCCATGAGCCTACCCCGACAAGTTCCTTATGGATTTCATGGACTTTTTGTGAGGGAAAGCAATCTGAGGAAGCTTTGGTGATGAACTGGTGATGATCTTTCAAGCTCATGGAACAAGGCACATTTATTGGTTATAAATAACATGGTGTCTGTTCGTTCAAAATAATAATAATAATAACGTGGTGTCTGTGTAACAATTAAATGAAATAAAATTTGTTATTTTTTTATTTTTCCATTATTATCAATAAAAAATAAATTTATATCTATAATCATGTGACATAGTATACTTTTATTAAATAGAATATAAATAAATGAAAAAAAATGTATATTAGGTGAGGGAATTTTAAAAAATAATAATTTTTTACTATTTTTAAAAATTTTATCTCCTAATATTTATTCCTCTTTATTTTTTTTCCTTATCCAACCAGAGCCTATATGCATGTGATATTTTTAAACTTTCCAATCAAATTGGTGATACTTTAATTTCTTAAATTCACTCCTAATTCCTCCTATCTGCGTTTAACGTAACAGCCAAAAAAAGGGTATTGGTTTGTTCTTCATCGGATTTGGGTTGCATTAGCACACCTAACAAAATCTACATTAGGCTCCTATATCATCTGAGACTCTATTCAGTGTCCAACTGCTCATCATTCATGTTAGATTTCCTTTGTTTAAATTAAAATATTGATACACAAATATATTGACCCTCTAAATAGCAATGGCATTGACCGACAGCATAGAAATGTTTATTTTGGTGATTTGTTAGGCACCCTTGCCTTGATTCATCAAGCCTTGCTTTCTCTGTTATGTTTTTCTCTTGTTCTTCATGTCATTGAGTCTCTCAGATTTAACGATTCTTGTTTTATTTTTGATACCTTGTGTAAGATAATGAACTAGATTTGTCAACAAAAAAACCTCAACAAGCTTATGATGCACACTGATTCCCTATACTCACTGGACCTCATACATCGTGACAATCATTGTGATCATCTGTTTTATGATATTACTCAAGAAATTCGTGAGATCATCCACACATGCGAGACTTTAAACTTCATTTTGCTCATTGCAAAGCATTGAAATGTGCTGATTTGCTAGCAAAAAATGTGCTTAACTCTTACTTCAATCTATCCATTTTTTATTTTGTTTCTCCAGATTGTCACGAGCAATATGCTTTGGAAATGTGTCCTTCCTATTAATTCGTACTAGACTATCTCAAGATAATCTTGCCTTTTCTAATTAAAAATTAAGGGTTTAATTAGATTGATTTGTTTTATTAATTTTTGCAAGCTTGTTTCTTTTTATGTCTTGTCTTCTATAAACCAATACAATCTGTTAATTATGGGTCTAGTTAGATTGATTTACAAGATAATTAATTTTAAGACCTAATCGAATTAGATAGTATTTTGCAGCCTTAAAAGTAATTAATTTCAAATATCAAAAGACTCAATTGCCCCTGAGTGGAAAAACATGACCCACCATGTGAAAATCTTGCTTCATGAACGCTCAGAAACTTCTCCCAATAATCAACCTTGCCCGAGCAAATTCTTGTACTTGATCTCCCATCTCTCTCATTCTCTAAAAACATTATTGCAAGTGAAGTTCTTGATCATTAAATTTTTCAAATAGACTTGTCGAACTAAAGAAAAATTCAAATGAGGGGAACAAGAAGGATCTTATTCTGGGGAATATCTGGTTTGGTTTTCTGTGAAGATCAACGTCAGTCAAGTAATAGTCCTCTATGAAGTCCCTCTCTTCCCTGCTGCAATACATAAAAAACCCATTCCCTTTAGCCTCCAAAAAATCCCTAGACGCCATAGACAGAATCACCGGAGCACCAAAAGTAAGAGATATAAAAGGAGTATCAAGCTTGGCAGGCCTCTACTAATAAATTTAGAAGCGTCATGTGTAACATCCTGATTTTTATATAATAAAAAAATTATGGAATTTAGGTTTTGAGGAAAAAATGATAATAATAGGAATTTATATTATTTGAGGTTATTTAGAAATAATATTATGGTTAGGTATTTAATTATAAATTTAAAAATTTAAATTTAAAACCACATAAGCAATATTTAGTTAAGATATAATACATAAATATTTTTTTATGTGTGTGTTAAAAAAAAGAGAAAGTAGAAGGAATAAAAAAAAAGGGTGGAAGGTTGTTGTTTCTAAGTCCCACATTGGTTAGATGAGGGAAGAGAAGAGGTGCCTTCATGTATAAAAAGGAGGGGGTGTGTGCATTAGGAAGCATGAGAGGCTAAGATACAATTTAGAGGAAATTGTAACTTTTGGCCCAAAAGTTTGAATAATTAAATTCAAACCTATAGTTTTTTTTTTAATATAATTTTAGGACCACAATTCTATTTTTATATTATTTTTCTCTCTTCCTCTCACGTTGCTCGACGTTTTTCTCGCAAGGGAGATTATTTTCTTTTTCTTCAGGTATGTTCTAGCTTTCCTGTTTAGATTAGCATTTAAAAATTTATTTAATTACAAAATTAATTTTATAGTTATTTTTTAAATGATATTAGCTTTTTAGTGATATGACTATTTTGTAGAATAAAGTAAATATTCTGATTAGGATTCTTTTTTATAGGATAGTTAATCTGATGATATGATGGATTAAAAATATAGGTTAAAACTCTTAGGGATATAATAAATATTATAGAATATTTTCTTGAGGTTAAAACTCATGTTTAAGAATTTTTAAGTTAAAATTTAGATCTATATGGTTGAATTTATGTGAAATCTGAGATGTAGGTATAAACCTCTGATTATTAAATATTTATTTAAGTATGAATAGGTATTTTTGAGGTTATAGAAAGGTGATTTGAGGTTTCAAGATAATTTTAAAATTTTTAATTTATTTTTGGACGAATTTTTAGAATATAGAAGGATGAAATTGTGATACTAGAAGTGATTTGAGGATAAAAAAAATAGTTTATTAGGATACGAGAATTTTAGAAAAAGAATTTGAGAAGTTAAATGAGGCATAAATCTTAAATCAGTATTAATATGGATTATAGATCTAAGACTTTCTAATTCTTTAAATTAGAGTTTTTTATTTTAATGTAAAATTAATATAATGTATTGTGAAATAATTATGTAGATTATATTGACAAAGATAGTGGTGAAAAAGGAATTGTGAAGGGGAACTTATTATTCAAGACACAAGGTAACCATTATTAATGTGTTGTGATAGGTGTGTTTGTGAATGGTTATGTGTTGTTTTATTGTTTGAAAAAAATTATGAATTATTGAAAATAAATACTGTATATACTTGTTTGAAATTATTGCTAAGTGGGTTAAAATTTATTTTTGTTTATCATGATGAGATATTATTGTTCGGATATATTCCTGTTTGGATATTTGAATGATGCATGACTTGTCAGGGTATTTTAATGTATGGTGTTAATGAGAATTTCTGTTCGGTTAATTATTACCACGTGGTATGCCCTCATTGGACCCAATGAGTGGCGTGTCACTTGGTCCAACTCACCTTTGGCCGGGTGATTTGGCGTCTGAGCATGGTGAAAGGAGGATATAAGGTGCAGTCATGCAATTAAATACTTGTTCGGTTTGTTTGAAAATATTGTTTGGTTAAATGTTTTGTGTCCCACTTAGCAATCACATAATTAGTTACATCCGCATGCATCATTACATATTAATTTTTGGTTACTGGGACTTTTAAGTCTCATTCCCCGTGGTTAATATTTTTACAGGAGCGAGTCCGGCCGAGAAAGCACCAGAGGTGTAACTATGGTGTATGAAACACCATCTTTTACGTTGCCTCTTATTTTGGATTATACAATGTATTTTGTGCCAACTTAGGACATATCTTCTTTGTGAAGCATGTAAACTCTAATCCTTTTTATTAAAAGTATTTATTTGACCAAGAGGATTATGTTTGTCTCTCTTGATTCATGACCTAATTTAAATATGATGCCATGAGGATCCTGACTGTCCCTCATGGTTCTAATTGCTTTTTGAGATATTTTAAGACCTGTAGTATATTGTCTTGGATGTATCATAGTAAGAAAATTTTCTACCATGATAAGGGTATGATAAGGGTTCAATGAAACAAAAATGAGTTGTTGAATTAATAATTTGTAAAAAATCGGTTTGTAAATTTGAGGGCGTTACATCATGGCATTACTCAATGTATAAATGTATATATACATGAAGATGAGAACGTGAGTATCTGATCATCCCAATATAATATTCCCAACAAATCATGATTCCCTCTCTCCCCCTCTACTATATCATATATTTACTTAACTATCAATATCACATGTATGTTAACTCTATATTATATTTAGCTCGACCCAACAGTCCCCCTCAAATTGGTGTATGTAATTTTACAATACCCAACTTGCTCATAAGTCCATTTAGTCAATCTTTCTTGATTGCCTTCGTAAACATTTGGCCAGTTGATCCCTTGTCCAAACTTTACATGGTTTTATTTCTCCTGACTGGTATCTCTCTCGTACAAAATAGCAGTCCATCTCCACGTGTTTGGTTCACTAGTGAAATAGTGGATTCATGGCTATATGAAGTGCCACTTGATTATCATAGTAGAGAGGTGTTGCCTTTCTTTGTGGAGCTTGTAACTCATTGAGTAGCCAATGCAACCATGATACTTTACTTACTGCACAAGCCTATATATTCAGCTTCAACAGAAGATTTTGCCATTATGTTTGCTTCTTTGTCCTCTATGATACAGGCAAGCCTCCAGGGGCCATGAAATATCTGCTACACAACCATCAGGTCAGAGGATATCCACCCTAATCTGCATCACAATATGCTTTTAACTCCAAAGTGTCTCCTTTTTTTTAACAATATTTTCGATCTTGGAGTACATTTTAAATAATGTAATACTCTTTCAACCTCCACCTTATGTGAATGCTTGGGATTATAGATGAACTGGCTTAGTATATTAACTGTAAAAATGATGCCGTCGGCATCAAAATTGTGCCATCAATGAACTCGATCTTGTTGTTAGTAAACAAGGTATTACTCTTGTCATTTGCCTATTCACCATAGTTAGTCCCATGAAGGAGTTCCCCAACATAGACATGGCCTGGACTATTAGAGGCATAGGTATACTACGGTGACATCACATCAATGGTCTCTATCATGTTGCCAGCTTAAAACCCTAAGCTCACTCATGTCGATTTTGTGGATCTATTGCTTTGATACTATAATAAGTTTAGAAGCGTTGTGCTATTATTCAATATACAAATTTATATATACATGAAGATAGGAATGTGAATATCCGATTGTCCTAATATAATATTCCCAACAAATCATGATTTCTTCTCTCTCTCTCTCTACTATATCCTATATTTACGGAACTGTCAATATCACAACAATATTATCTCTATATTACATTTGACTCAATCCAATATTTTCCTCTTCAAGAAGGAGTTGATCGGCGAGGAGGAGGAAGATGATGGAGCAGAAGTGGAACTAGAAGGAGAGGGAGGACTAGGAAAAGTAGGAAGAAGGGGAAGGAGGAGTAAGGAAGCATGAGCATATTGGGAAAGTGCTTGAGCAGAAAGCATTGGGAAAACAATTTGAGCAAAAGGGACATAAAATAAAATATAAATTCCCAACTAGAATGCATGTGCCTACATTTATTTGACTTTTGCCTCAATACAATCTTATGTTCATTGCAGTGATGAACCGACCAATTCCAGAGAGGGAGAAGACAAAGGTCCAAGGGAGATGAGATATTTTTCCTTGTAATTTTTTAGAGGACAATTAAGTCTTTCAAACTTTGAAATTAACGACAAAGGAGACCTAGAGCCTATAAAATAATATTAGAGTTTATTAGGCCATAAAAGTAATTATTTCCGATAAAATTTATTACAAAGCCACATCAGTGGTGCAATTCAAATTTTAAATTTATTAGAGATTGCATTGTGCGGTTTTAAAAAAATTGAAAAGAGACATTAACGAATTTTAAATTTCAAATGTCCTTAAACTTATAATTTAGATACTAATTTACTGTTTAATTTTAAAAACAATAATTTAATATAAAATAAAAATAAAATATATTAAATTTAAATCATTCAAATCAACTCTAGACAATTTAAATTGGACGGAAAGTATATCCCATCTCCTTAGAATGGAATTGGGACAAGAGCTGCTCATGTTCGTTCGGTTTTTTTTTTTTTTTTTTTTTCAAGGTTTGTGATTCTTGCCTGTTTGTTTTCGTTGCGTGGCTTGGAAGTCTCCCGGCTGGACTGATTTCAAATAAAATTAGGTCCCCAGTGGGGATTTTTCCCCTTTTTTGGCTGAAATCCCTTGGGATATTTTTGACTCGTTTTTTTGGGCCAAATTTTTGACAATTTCAAGTCAATAAAAAATATTTAATACATGCTTCCCCTCTACATACACGTGTCTCCGAAGAAAGAAAGGAGGAAAACTAGTCGTCGCAATCAAAATCCGGCGAGCGAAAGGCAAAAGACAGTGTAGTCTTGGAAACGAAGCATCCGATTTGTTGTGCATTTCGTGTGTTGTGTTTCCCTGTTTCGGCGAATCGAACATCAGATTTCGTCTTCTCCTTCTCTCCTGTCTCTCTGTGCCAATGGCGGCACTATTGGCATCGCTGGTAGCAGGGGGAGACGTATCTAAGGCTCACTTGTTTATGGTGATGGTCCAGCTTTTCAGTGGAGGATACCACGTCATCACCAAAGTAGCCCTCAATGTTGGAATCGACCAATTAGTGTTCTGCGTTTTCCGCGATCTCATTGCCCTCGCTATTCTCGCTCCAATCGCTTACATCCGTGAAAAGTATGCGTTCTTTGCTATGACGGTTGTTAGATTCCAATAAATTTGCTACTATAGTACTGCCATTCATGTTCTTGGTTTGACGCTTTGAACTATTCGATGGAAACTGCTGTGTAATTCTCATCCTTGGCTCTTCCAATGCTTTCTTCGGTTACCCTTGAACAAAATCTTATTTTGTAGGGTTTTTCTGCCCCACAAATTTTCTATTGCATTTAGTTTCAGAAGAGTTTAATCAGTTGGGAATGGAACTTCTGACCTGACGCCTTTTTTATTGCTTGCGATGTTGGCTAGGCCTCATTCTCATGCGTTCTTGTTACTTTTTGGGATATTTTGGCTCCTTTATGTCTATACGATTCGTCCGCCCTAGTGCCACCCTATGGTGTTGTTCTTATTAATAAATTTTCCACAATGCATATAATTGCTGAGGTGTTAATTGATGCACCGATTCTCTTATATATTTTTTCTGGCCGCATGACTCTGGGTTGTGCGTTATCCCTAATTTTACGTTACAATGTGTTAATAAATTTAAATTCACTGACATCTGGAGCTTTCTTCATGATAATTTAAAGCATGTCAAATTTTCTGGTGGTACGAAGTGATGTATCCTGATTGAAATTTATCATCTCCTCTCTGGTCTGGGAAACGCTTAATGCATGCCTGTTTGTAATCGATGGTCATTAGTTTTTCTGGTGTTTTAGTGTTCTCATATGGTGGTATCCACGTTTGGAATATGGATGAAAATTCGTTTATTGGCAGTCGATGTTACATCAGCTTTGCACATGAACATATTCAAACAGTTGCAGTGATATCTTAAGTAACTGGTTCTGTTTTTTGCCACTTATCATAATCTTTGCATTGTGTATGATTTATTCCATGTTATCTGTAGACGGACACGACCACCCATGACTAAGCGCCTCCTGATATCATTTTTCTTTCTCGGATTGACAGGGTAAGGTTCTTGATGTTGTCAAACCCTAGCTAATAATACTTTTACATTAATTTATATGAATGATGTTGTCTTTTTGACTGTTTATTTTCTTTTTGTTTTGTGATTTATGATCAGGATTTTCGGCAACCACCTTTTGTTCCTTATTGGTTTAAGCTATACTAATCCAACTTATGCAGCTGCCATTCAACCAGCCATTCCAGTCTTCACTTTTCTTTTGGCTGTAATGATGGGGTCAGTTTAGATATTCTTATGAATTTCAGCTTGAATAGTGGATGATACAATGTATTCGATCTTTCCTTAGAACTCAATCACATAGACATGCATATTCTTGGTTGTTGTGAAGGAATGTATTCATTATTAAACTTATTCAGAGAAGGAAGGACATATTGTGGAAATTCTGAATTCATTCAATAACTGAATACAATTCTCTTCTCATTCTCTTCCCCTTCTTCACATGTAATCATACTTATATACCACTTGTACCTGCAGTACAGAAAGGGTGAATTTACTCAGATATGAAGGTCTGGCAAAGGTTGGAGGAACTCTTGTCTGTGTTTGTGGTGCCATATTTATGGTTTTGTTCCGTGGTCCAGCATTGATAGGATATGCAGATTCAGACATTTTAGCACATAGTGAAATAACTGCAAGAGGTCAACCTGAGCCATATGGATGGTTAATTGGTGGTTTAATGGATCTTGGTTTGGACCATTTCCATCTTGGGGTTTTGTGCTTGATAGGAAACTGCATGTGCATGGCCACTTTTCTGGCCATTCAGGTACATTATCTGTGTGTGTGTGTGTGTGTGTGTGTGTCATCATGAATTGATTCAAACATCGAGTGGAAAATAGCAGTTATTTATTCACTTCTTGTTTCTATCAACTTGGTAGTTCTTGTTACTTTAGAATTTTGCCTCTAAACAGAAAATAGAGAGCTTCCTATACTCTTATTTCTTAATATTTGAAGTTCTTTTCATCACTCTGATTTCCTTCTACTGGAATCACCGCCTTCATTCCCTTATTTTTAATAGAAACTGGGTTAACATGCAATTGCTTTGCGTTTCTTTCTTATATCTGAATATCCTGGTAAGCTGCAAGATATCAAGATGCTGTCAGGTGGCCATGTAGGTTTGAAAACCTCTGAATTAAAGGACCTCCCTAGTGTCATTTGTCTTCTAATTTTAATTTGTCAGTAGGTGAATTATAAGTTGCTTCACATATTTATAATGGAAATTAGGTGCTCCCAATCTGTCCACTGTCTAATTTTTTACTACTCAAATTTCATGAACTACTTCAATCTTAATTTTCTTGTGCTTAAATATTTGTCATCATTTAACTTATTGGCATGAATAATTTCCAGGCTCCACTATTGAAAAAGTATCCCGCAAACCTATCTGTCACAGCATACTCATACTTTTTTGGAGCTTTGCTAATGGTGACAACAGCATTCTTCATGACCAATGAGTCAACTGACTGGAGCTTGACACCATCTGAAACGTTTGCTGTTATTTATGCTGTGAGTTAGCCTTTAATTTCATCAACCCTTATCAGTTATTGCTGATCTTCCTACGCTTCTCAGTTTTTGCCCATTTTACTTGATAAAGTATTTCTCGTGGCCTTATAATTATTGGACACTATTCATTGTTTGAAGAGAAAAATTACAATATGCCATTTTTTGAAGTTAAAAAACAATTCATGATATCACTCAATAAGTTTCTGTCAAGTAGTCATACTCATTAAGACATGTTCAAGTTTATTTATATGTAGCTGTCGAGCTATTGTAACCCTTCGCTCTTGTATGAACTGTAATATAATTTTGAGGGTACTATGAAACTTGCCTGGCATGGCCATTGGTAAGAACAATTATTTTTAGATGGATCTCTTCTATTAAGGTGGGATTTCTCTGACATGATAATTTGGTTTGTTCCGGTGATTAATCCACGGTGTTAAAAGGATGGGGGTCAAAGATGGTTTACACAGAAGTTGAAAATAAAATAAATATTCAATCTAAGAATGTGTTAAAAGTTTATGCCCTGAAACGTGAGAAGGAATGGAGTAATTCTAATTCACTTACTACTAAGGTGAAGGCGTTAAATAAATAGTGAGGGGGAGTTTTTTTTTTTTTGGTTGGGCGGGGTGCCTAAAATGAGTCCCAAGGCTGGCTTATCAGTCTCGGAAAATTTCACGACTTAGAGAGATTGTATCTATTTGAGCAAGAAAGTTGTGCAAATTGTCTATGATCTGGCAATTTAAAACAGTAATTCAGCTGCCTATGCAACAATCTGTTATGATAGTATTTTTAACCAGTACATTTTTTGTGTTAAACAGGGAACCATTGCATCTGCCCTTAACTATGGACTCCTGACATGGTGCAACAAGGTTTTGGGTCCGGCTATGGTTGCCCTTTATAACCCACTTCAACCTGCAGCATCCGCCCTTCTGTCACGAATTTTCCTTGGAAGTCCTATTTTCTTGGGAAGGTAGAGCTTATGTTATTTATTTGATGGATCCATATTAATTTGATGAAGTGGCTAGGTGGAGAGGCCTTTATCGATCCACTAGTCCATTTCTGAGCAAATTTTGCTAGTTTAGACTTGATAAATGTCTGGTCATGTTGGACTGACTGAAGTTCGACCATCTCTTTCTAGTTTCTACAAAAGGACTGAGATATACTTCTGTCACACATTTTTATTTGGGTTTCTTATTATTTTGTTTTCGATCTATCACGACAGTGTCCTCGGGGGATCTTTGATCATTGCCGGTCTATATGCTGTCACTTGGGCAACTTACAGGGAAAGACAAGCAGCACTTGGAGTTGTTCCTCAGGGCTCTTGGGTCCCTGAACAAATTATTCATACAGATGGATTAGTGAGCAAGAGTTCATTTCAGTTAGGTCACATTTTTTCCGGGTCACCCAAGTCTTCTGATTAAGGAAATGAGTTATGATAGTCTTTGTAGGGCCTTATTACAATTTTCCATCCTGTTAATGCTGTTGTCATTTAAATAGGAAAAGCCATATTGATCTTGGCATGTTTAGATGTTGATCGAGAGGACCATGCTTGTGTTATCACATTTTATGTAGCTGGTTCTTATTCAAAATAGAGTTGTCAAAAGGCAATTTTTTGTACCATGAGCAGTATACTCCTTCATATGTCATGATGTTCTATACAACACAACTAGATAGATTTATTCCACGTGGGGGAATATTTCAATATTTAAAAGATAAAAATAAAATAAAATAAAATATTTTTTAATTTTAATGTGCTTAGGATTTGTTATTTATTTAAAATAAATTTTAATGATAATTTATTCTATTTTAAAATATATCTTGCTTATGCATATTAAAAAACAAATAATAACTTATTTTATTTTACATATGTTGTCATGGGAGACAAATTTGCTAGTCCTGGAATTATTAATCTTGAAGCTCAAAACAATGCCTCCTTATTGAATCTTTTTTATACAATTGTTGCTGAGTCAGATCTATTTTGTGGGTCCGGGTCCTTAAAGACAAATACCAGATTCAAGATACAACTACTCACGGCATTGGTAGGAATCCCTGTTCCTATTACTGCAGAAGCATTTCGGAACTCTGGCGAGACACATTGATGTATGTCAAATGGAACCCAGGTTCTGGGAGTAGCATTAAATTCTGGTCTCATTTTTGGATAGGTGATTCTGACCCTCTCAGATTCCTATCCTTTGCTGAATTAATGCGTCTGACTTGCTTAAGCCAATCTCAGATTTTGTTGATGCAGATGGTCAGTGGAGATCGGGTCTTTTTTAAAATTTGCTGCCACAAAATATCCTTGATCATATTGCTAGTATTTCAGTTAACCCAGCTTCCATAGAAAAAGGCAAAAAACCTTCCTGTTATTGGAACCTTACAGGCAGTGGTGATTTTATTGTCAAGTCAACCTATACTATTAGTATTATGCAAAGTTAATGATTCGCAGCCAGTTGATAGTACTTGGTCCAAAATTTGGAAAGTACCTATGGCTCAAAGAGTTTGCACCTTTATTTGGCTAATGTTCAAGGGTAAACTCCTTACCTGTAATGAACGATACAGGACAAACGTTGTGCCATATGACATTTTCATGTTGAAGATGTTAATCATGCTCTCAAATTCTGCCCTTTTGCTGCATTGGAAGAAAATTCTTCCAATTGATATGTACATTGACTTCTATGGCAGAGAGTTGCAATCCTGGTTTATCGCTTGTCTACTCAACCCTCGGCTTGACACCTCCTGGAAGATTGAAATCAGCATTACTTGTTGGAAACTTCGAGAAGTTAGGGACCATAGTCTTTTCACTAATGAAACTTTTGCTATTGATAGTGTCCTTTCTCAGATTAGAACTATAGTTGATCATATCTTAAGAATTTTTTTTTTTTTTAACAAAGTAGGATGTCCTGATGTGAAGTTCCTTTTACTCGCTTGTACAGTTTTCCTTTTGAGTTCATGAAATTTCCAATTACAAAAAAAAAAAAAACAAAAACAAAAATTGCTAGTACTCCACATTTGTGCTCTTCTCTTTATTGATATGGGGTCAACTTTGAAATTGGATTAAAAATGTACTTACTATTAAGTTTTGTCCTACATAATTAATTGAAGAAGAAAACTTGCTCTACAATAAATACTATTAGATTTATCCCTTGTTGCTCGTGTAAATTAAGACCTAAGTAATGACTTTTTTTTTTTTACAACTTCTTGCGTTCATTCATATTAAAAAATACATTTTTTATAATTTTTCACCTCTTCTAAATTTAAATAAAATTAGCTTACTCAAAGTCTCTAAGTAAAATGAAATATGTAACATAATAAATCATATACTCCCTCCACTAAAAAATATAAGACATTTGTAATTGAATCTCACCCTCTAATAAAGTAATTATGTACTTTCAAACTAACTCTATCTTTTCATATTTACTCCTATCAAACACCCAATAATAAATCTAAAGTCATTATTAACAGGGACATTTTTTAAAAAAAGGCAATGATTACATCTCGAAAAACTAAAAATGTCTTACATTTTTTAACATTTAACTCATCAAAAGATGCCTTATATTTTTGAATAGAAGGAGTATTATAATTTATGTCATACTAGTATTTGTAAATTACAACTATAGCCAAAAGTAAAAAATTAAATATCTTTTATGTATATATAAAATAATGATTTTAAATAAGTCAAATACCATAATTTGTTTTCAGGTATTCCTTCCATTCAAAAATATAATTTATTTTTTGAGGAGTTGGATGTTAAAAAATATAAAACATTTTTAGTTTTTTGAGATGTAATCATTACATTTTGTTCAAAAGTATCTCTATTGATAATGACTTTATAATTATTGTAAGGTGTTTAATAAGAATAAATGTAAAAAATAGGATTAGTTGAAAAGTAAATAATTATTTTTTTAGAGGATGAGATTCAGTATAAAATGCCTTACATTTTTAAACGGAGGGAATATATATTAAAAATTTTAACATAATTTTTTATTTTAAAATTTATTACCCTATATATAATGTGCAATTATAAATCATTAAAAAAGTAGTAGTTAATTTCAAACTCCACAAATAAAAGTTTATCAATATATAATTAGAAAATTTTAAAATAAAAAGGTTAAATTGAGATCTTATGAGTATTGCAAATCGCATTATTTAATAGTATACTCTAAAAATTAGATTTTTTTTTTCCAACAATATTTCGAAGATTTGTTTCACAAAAATATGTTTCAAAGATAATTTGATTTGATGATGATTGTAAAGTGGCAGGCGGATCATTATGCTATAGCCCTCAGATCATTCTAATCTAACAGTTAAATGTGTTTGACAAAAAACAAAATTTGAACTTGGCATTCCGCACCCCATTTCTCACATTGCATTCCGAGGTCTCTCTCTTCCCCTCATTCTCAGAGAGACACTGCAACCCTCTGACCTTGACAATCTCTATTTGTTCCATCGTTCTTCACCGTCTCTTGAAATCTCCCATCATCGATTTCTTCGCTAGAATGCTCCCAGGACCAGTGATCGTCTCGATCTCAACTCAAAGGCTTCGGCTTCGTCCATCTTCGTCGCCTCCCTCCCTCTTCCTTCTCTTTTACTTTCACCCGCTTACCTTTCTTTTTTCTTTTTGGTTTTTTTTCCTCTTTTGGAACTGGCAGTGGCAGAGACATAATCGCAATGAAGTCGGCTGCATTTGTTTTCTTGGAGATGATAACTTCAACTATCACTAAAACAATGTGTACAGAAATATGAAGAAAGTGTTATCCTTAAACCTGTGATCATGGGTTCGGATCCTCTTGTAATCCACTCTCTTCTTTTCTTCTCTTTATATCATCTACACCCTTAAATAATTAAATCAATGGTCCGGATTTAATTGTTTTTTTACCAACAAGTTCAATTGCTTTATAAAATAATTATTATATAAAAATAGATATATTTAAGTTATTAAAACAGTTGTATATCATTATTAAATTTTTTTATAAATTACGTTTTATTTATTTATTTATTTATTTTATTGCAATCATACACTATGTAGTTAAATTTTGATAGTTCAACTAGTTAAGGGAGTTAAATCGTGCTTTCAAGTTAAATATGATAAAGGCATTTTGAAATGTGAGATCACAATTGATAATAACAATCTTACATAACAAGATTTGGACGCTCATTGTCTAATCATCTAAGGGCGGAGATAGGATGAAGAAAAGAAAAGCAAAAGGCGAGAACGTGTAGGGGATCTGCTTCCTATGATCATCTTCCACCTCACCCAACGTGGGATGTGTGTGTGTTTTTTTTTTTAAATTGAAAAAAAATATAAGAAGTAAACTTGGTCGATAGCTGAAGATGTCTCTCGAGATAAGATGCTAGTGCAGTGGGTAGACCTCCCAATACAAACGAAAATTGACATGTAGCTCATGGGCTAACTCTGCTGGTCTGTCGGCCTTTGGTGAATTCCCTAGACAAAAGAAACAAGGATTTTGGACGTTGGTTGAATTGTTCTTTAACAAATATGATGAAAATTTTTTTGATTAAATCAAAATAAAATAAAATTTTAAAAATAAATTTAGTATGACAATAAAATTTTAATATAATTTTAATTAATATATATACTTAAAATGATAAAAGATTAGATTGCTTTTTAAAAAAAAAATAAAAAGACCTTCTTATCATAAGTAAACAAAAGGAATGAGAGTAATGGGGTCCACAATTTAAAGAAATTAAAGTAATTTTATAATTAATATGATAAAATTTAATGCTAGTATTTTTAGTAGAATCAGAATGCTTGAAAATTATAATTTTTACATATCACACATACTTAAATTAAAATTACATGTCTGATTTCATTTTTACCCTTTTCAATTCAATGATAGGAAACGTGGCCTAAGACTGCTGCACATATCTGCTTTTCTCTGAAGCTCAATCTTCAAACCTGAGCTGATGACCTTAGCTTTCTGGCTTTACTTTTAGTTTTATGTGCTGAAATGGAGCCTTTGGAGGATATGCCATGCCGCCTATTCAGGGAACAAAGAGAATCGTTTCGAGGCACGTAACTACTGTAAAAACACTGCTCATAATCATTAGGTAACTTTTTCGTACATTACCCGAAAGTTGAATAATAAGTGGTGTTGTTCATGATTTATGGCTTATGAACTACGTGACTCGGTATAAATTTTATATTTTATCAAGAAATTGTTTGTCAGTGTAGCTCAACCATTTCAAGTTCTGTTTATAAGATCGTTGTTTTCTTAACCTTTATAATTTTTAGATAATGCGTTGTGTAAATTGTTTATTAGTAACAAGAAATTTGAAGCGTTTGGATTGTTAACAGAGGACATTTTAGTGTCATTAATTCGTGGAGAAGAATAAGCCTTGGTCTTTTAAAACATTTCTAGAAATAGTAAGACTTTTTATGTTGCAATATACAAATGTGGATTCTAATCTAGTTATTGCAGTTGGTGAATATGAAGTGTTTGAGTAAGGCATAAGGCATGCGTACGTAAAATATCAAATATAGTTAGACATGGCATGGGCAACGCCTGAAAAAGCCACCCGCCTTAGTTTCTTTCCCCTCTTTCTCTCTCCGATTAGGTCAAGGTGCGAATCACTTATGTTCCAACAATTAATTAACCAAT